ATAGGATAATGCCTTTTCTACAAAAATTGCATGGCTTACTCAAATAAGCCACACTTTCAAATAAAAAAAAATTAAAATGATCGTGTCTGGCCAGTATGTCTCATATAGAAAGCTCTCATATAAGGATTAAATAACAAAAATTTGCATTCAGTGAGTCAGCATATGCATACCCACATGGTCAAGCATCTTTGGCTAAAAGCCAATTTGTAAATCCTATCTTCTAAATCAAAACAACCTTCTTAATCTTCATATGCACTAAGACCAAACCTTATAGTTTTAAAAGCATTTAGATGGGCTTAGCTAGTAGCCCTTTCCAGATAGGGTTGCCGACTCATGCCACATATGAGATATAGGCTTGTAAGTCACTTGCATTTCGTTAAACTTGGGTTTGAGGCACTATCCCTCAATAGTCCTCATCTTAGATCTAGTATCCAAGGTTGTTAATAACTCAGGTCACCTCATACACCCTCACCTTTCGGGCATTTCCTTCAACTTATATTGTTGGAATATAATCTCCAACTTTCTAAATTAAATTGATCAACTCAAACAAAAATCTAATTTTAAAATATAAAACTCAACATAAGATAATTTGAGTAACTTTGAGTTTATTCATAATCAAGTACTGTTACATTTTCCTTCATTTGGCTTCCATTCCTAAAATCTAATTTAAATTTAATCACATCATCTTTGAAATTCCCAAAGACTAAATCTTTAAACAAGAATTTCTCAAACTTTAAAATGAAAATATTAGGCAATGTTTTGATGACTCTAAATAGACAACTAATTTAATAAAAAGTATTCTCAAGTAACAAATGCTTGAGGTTTAATTAACCATAGAGGCTAACCCCTTTAGGGCATCCGTACATCAGAATAAAATAAACCTTATTTAACCAAATATTAAATAAGGGAAAATGTCTGTTGAAACATAAAATTGTAAGTTTTGTTATCGAGTCTATAACGAAATAATATTTTCATCCTTTGGAATAATATATTATTTTCTATGTAATGTTAGATCACAAAATAACATAATTTGTTAAAGCAATAAAGTTTTTTCAACAAGCATCCTCATCTCTGCAACACTTCATTTTATGCTCCTCTTTTAATGGCCAACATTCTGCGACATAAAGCATTACAAGTCTCACCATCATTTTATAAAATTATTCATTAAATTTGAGGGGTATTTTCTGTTACACAACATACCCGATACATTCCTCCACTTCAGTCATCCAACTTGAATTCCACTAATAATATCATCATCTATTTGACCATCACTTCGAAAAATAAATTTGAGATATCAAAAATGTGTACTCTTATTAACGACTTGATCGCCCAAAATTACAATCCCCCACTAGATCTATTACTACTAAAATTACACTCAATACATTTGATTAGATCTACTCAAATTAAAATATTTAGACTCTTAAGGTTGAAATCCATAATTCAAGATTTTCTTTAACTCCCTCTTTATAATTATCAACAAGAAGAATATCATCAGCAAAAAGCATACACCATGATATCTCCTCTTACAAATGTCTAGTATAACATCCATGACTAAAGCAAAAAAGATATCCTCCAACTCAAATAGGAAAATACTTATTCAAATCACTTTGTGTTTGAACATAAGTAACAACTCATGCATACATATCCTTAATGACTTGAATATAAGCATTATTAACTTCTTTCTTTTCTAAAACTCTCTAGATCACTTCTCTTAGAACTTTTTCATATGCTTTCTCCAAATCAATAAATATCATATATATCCTTCTTATTCTCTCTATACTTCTTTATCAAAGCTCTCAATAAATGTATAGCATCCATAATAGATCTACCCGACATGAATCCAGATTAATTTTGAGAAACATTGATATCACACTGTAATATACGCTCAATAACTCTCCCCCATAGTTTTAATGTATGTAAACCAAGGTTTAAAAAGGCGAAATCGGAAATCGAGGCATTTTCTCTAAGCAAAGCGAGGCATAAGACTCAAAATGAAAAAATAAAGTGCTTCAAAATTATAAATAATTAACAAAAATAATAAAATATTAAGAAAATTATGAATATAAAGATTTTTTTGAAGATAAATATTACTGGAACACAATATTCAAAATAAATACTCACTTAAAACTTAAACACGCCATTATAATCAAGACCCAAGACAGTCTCATCGTCACTTTGACAGTCTTCAGAGGAATGCTTATAATGTATGCCAGATCTTCAAAATCTTTTTCATCTATAATATTTTTTCATTATCTCATATATCAATTAATATTTTATTAGTTGTATACTAAAATGAAATAATAAATTAATAACATAAAAAATAATTCATTATATTTAAGATTACCTTCGAATTTTTTTAAAGCTCCAACCCCACTTTGTTTCTTTCTTTTATATACTTAGAAAGTAGAAGTTGATCTCAATTCAATAAATCATTCAATGTCCATAGTGATTACTTCATTGTCCTCATTGACATAAAGTTCTCCTTTAGCTTCAATTTGAATAAAATCGGCACCCTTAGGAGTAACATATTCATCGTCGGCTTATAAATCATCAAGTAAAGGATCTAATTCATCGTCACCATTTCTTAGGCTAATTATGATCTTTTTATATTACGTGATTATGTGCAAGTTTATTAGGTAGTACCTTGTGATAGGTATTTATACAGTCATACATGGCTATATATTGATACACCTGACAATCATATTAAATTGCCTGCATATGCATGTTTTTATATATAGTCAAGTGTCACACAACTTAAAAAGGAAAATACAATAATCAGAAAAGCCTGACAATGCGTAATATTAGGTGGTAGGCAAGTGTCACACAACAGAAAAGATGGCGAATGTGGGAAGGGCGACAATAACATAGGGCATCGAGGTGTCTCAAAGTCGTGGAATCACTATTGGAACAATATAAGTGGGGATTGAAGGAAAGGCAATGCGGGGATGGCAGCAAAGATGGATATGAGCCCGGCAAGCATGGCAATGGCAGACTAGGTTATGGGGTCACAGGGTTAACAAGGATCCATGCAAGATGGGGTAGTGAATGATGAATTTAGAATTCATCTAATTTGAGGAAATTTCAAAATTCATCAAAAATAAGCCTTTGAGATATTCTAAATTCCTTACGAAAAATACTATGCATTTATTTCATTTTACACCAAACATCTGAAAACTCAAAACCCATGTATTTATTTTACTTCAAACTCACAATAACACAAAACAAACAAAGCTGATGAGATCCCCATGCAAGGTGTCAATAAAATAACATATAAGGTCGAGGAAGCTTGATGTTTTGAACTCGCACTTATAAACCATGATTTGAAACTTCATCATTGTTTCACTTAGCCCTCAGCATCTTCTACTTCAAAGCTACCTCATCTCTTTCAAATAAGGGATGTTTATAATAAAGGGAAGGCTCTATCACTTTTGTGATCTGGTGCTTCAAGTCCTTTGAAGAGGAATAGATGGCGGCTAATAAGGATTCAAAAGGGGATCATAGGGCTAGGCCACCAAATTGGACAACAAGAGAAAACAAGTTGTTGAGTTAAATTAATGTTCCATGTAATTATCAGTTACAAACATGGTTTCTATTTACAACCGCAAAACTATTCATCAGGCAAGTACAATTATGCAACTAAACCACATTTTGAGTTATGTCGTATGGACTTTCTAACCCTTTGACTAGCATAAGAGGGGCTTAACAACTTTTAACCCAAATGGAGGCCTATCACAACCACAGATAAGATGTCAAAATGAAATCTTCCCTTAGAGCTACAAATCAAGTCAATTGATCTGCAATAGCAACCAAATCCTATGTCATAATTGCATAACTTATTAGGAGTCTGATAGTTTTAAAAAACAAATTTAGTAGAAAAATCAAGGATACGCCTCTAATGAGTCTAGATGTGAACCTAACAAATCCTAAACCTTCATTACTTTCCCTTTATGGAATTTTGTGCTACATTATGTTCTATTTTATAATTAATATTGTCAGCATTGTAATGTTATAATAATTTTGCATATTTCATATAATATCTGCTCTTTTTTACGCTAAATTCATCTTATCATTTTGATGATAATTAGCAATTTATTAATACATCATTACAAAAACTAGGATTTGTTTTATGCATAGAAAATCACTGAGTTTGAGATTCCTAGTTTTCTGACAAAAATTATATATAATTTTTAATGCATATTATACAAATCAAGTCAACCGATCCATAATTGCAATATAATCCTATGTCATAATTGTATAACTAATTAGATGTCTATTGTTTCAAAATTAAATTTAGTAAGAAAAGGCAAGAATATGCCTATGATAAGTCTAGATGTGAAACTAACACATCTAATGCATATCATACTCATCCAAATCCTTCTCTACTTTACCTTTCTAGAATTTTGTGCTACAATTTGTTTTGTTTTAAAATTAATGTTCTCTGCATTATAATGTTATAATAATTTTGCATATATCAAATACTATCCAATCTTATTTACACTTTATTCATCTTATCCTTTTGAAGATAATTAGCAATCTATTATTACACCATTAAAAAAACTAGGTTATATTATATGCATAGAAAGATTGAGATTCATGGGTGTTGGACAAACCATAAGATGCATACTTTTGATGCATGATTTATATCAACTTTGACATTATGTTACATTTTCTCAAGGTATGTCATAGCCTCCTACCCATGTAGTTATTTATTATCCATGCCCAAGATAAAGTGCTAACTCCTTATGCAATAATATAATTTATACGGTGATTTATGGAATAGGTCAAGTTGAATAATTTAATGTCAATTCCATGCAGATACTATCCATAAAGCTTATACCAGGGTTTAACCAAGAATAATGGCTATTCAAACTGTTAGTTTGCCACGCCAATTGGAAAACTAGCTTAATCAATTATCTTCAAAATTCTTAGGTAAAATGAATAACAAAGTATGAAAAGGAACAAATCAATTTGCATTAGTTTCTTTGCAATATAACACAAACCTTCCCATTGACTTTTGCTTGAAATTCTTCCACGAGACCAGAATACTTCAATCGATATAAGATCTGTCAATGATAACAAATAAAAAAAATAAGTCCAAAGTAATGTCAAGACACCATAGAGATTACTAAACATAACCAATCTTTGTGAATAAATAACTTACACTCCTCCATGCTCTATGCCCAGATGACTTTCTATAACCAAGAGCTAACTTTATGCTTGAAACAACGTCAACCTTTTTGCAGAACATATTGCAAACAAAATAAGAATCATATCAACTAAGTTAATGAAGGTTAACATAATAATAAGAAAACCGACCTTATTTTTTGAAGCTTCTAGTTTTTCACAAATAGTTTTCATAGCTGGTATATAATCCTTTATGTGCACATCTTCTTTTAAACAATCCTCAGAAACTTCAGTGGGAAAAGAACATGGTTCTGTATCTTCAGATTCATTCAACATTTGAGGGAAAACAGACCTTGTGATTTCAATCCTTTGTTGAGGATTCAGTTTGACATTTTTTGCGTACCGGGACAGATGCAATAAGTTAGTATTTACAATTTGATCATATTTTGGCCCATTTTCCACATTTACATAGTCTTTTTCCCTAACCATAGTTGATTGTTTAACAATCAACTGCTGACAAACAAGGTTCCTCACAACATAAGAGAAGTTGGTTCCTTTGATATCAAGTTCTTTGGCAAGCTCGCTCTGAGTTACTCCACTACTCCTGTGGATTGATATAATCAACCAATTAGATCAGTCGAACTCACATGATGTTAAACAAAGATTATTGAAGTGGCCAAATACATGGTGTGTGTATCAATGATAAAAGCCCTATCATGAAGTAATAGCCATTGGACTTCAAAATTGTCTTCTATAGCGCCAGCATATCGCAGCATGAGAAGTATCAGGCAATCATTTTGTACATTAAAATTGTGTAGCATTGTATTTTTCAGTTGCTCGACAGCACAACCATCTTAACTATTCAAGCTTCTCCATTAATTGCAATAAAAGGCCAAATAACTAACATTCCTTACCTACATAAATAAGTAATCAATCTATAATGAAATTTTATAACAAAATGCATCAAATATTCGGATTTAAGGAAGTTTCCAAAGCAACCATACTCAACCCTGTACAACTGAGTAGCCTCCTAAATAACAAGAAATTCACACAGCAGAACAAATATCTACTGAGGATTACTTTCATCCAATATTCAAGAGAAAAGTAAAGAATAAAAAGAATGGAAAGTAAACCTTGCCATTGCAAGCCTCTCAAGAACACGTCTCTGAATCTGAGAAATCTCAAAGTGTGGGGATTGCTTCAGATCATAGAGCCCCAGAAAACTATCCCGCATGTGTTCCTCAGCAACTATACTCAGCCCAATCCTCTCCATTTCCTCCATAGACCCCTGCAAAACATCCTTATGTTCCATGGACGAGCCAGAGACCGTGAACCGAAGGCCTGGTTGTGAAGCAAGACGCCCCCATATAACTTGCTTGACAATATCAGAGAGCTCAAGGCAGGAGGAAGAAACAGCCACTTGCAAACTCGGCCATAACTCTTGGAGGCGAATTCCGGAGGCGCCCCTCACGCAAACCTCCTCAAGCGCCGCACAGATGATGTCGTCCATAGAGAGGTTGAGATGAGAAGCAAATTGGGGCCTGTTTTTTAGCAGGATTTGAACCAGATTTAAGCAAGATTAACGTACTGCCAAACAGCAAAAATGACAACTTCGAATCCACAGAATATTAAATCCGGGATTTAGTAAATCTGGGCTTTGGACGAAATTAAATTAAATCCACGAGTCTGACGGAATCCTCTTCTTTCTCACACACCAACGCCCTTTCCAGCAAACTCCCGTTGCAGCATCCTCGTTCCTTTGCCGCCGAGGGTTTCAGGAATTTGGGGGGGCGGTTTTTTGCGGGAGAGGAACAAGGAGCTAGATTATTTCGTGGAATTAACAAAAAAAATTCTTTTTAATAGTGTACCTTTTTTTTTTTTTTAAAGAAAAGTCTGTAACGGATTGCTTTAGAAAGCAATAAAAAACTATCACAAATAAGACCTTAATCACATATAAATATAATGGAGATTAGAGAAGTAGTAGTTGAGGGATCATAATGGTGGTTAAATAATATTGATTGGGTGATGGAAGTTGGATGATATAAGTAGGTCAACCATGATCAAATGGTGGCATATGGTTGATGGCAGTCGGTTAATGATAGTCACATATGATAATTGAATAATGGTGATAGTTGTGGTGATCGTAAACATCAAACATTAGAAAAAGTTTTAGAGTTTTTGAGATCTTCAAGATCGCTTCAAAACAAGTCAAGATCCAAGCAACCCCCTTTATATAAAAAAGAGGGTCTAATAATTTTCTTAGAGTGATATTTTGATAAATTTGTACCAAATTTTCATAACACTATTAGATGTTGTATTAGTTATTTCAATTAAATGTCTCAAAGTTAAGAAATCTCAAGCTTCTGAATTCAAATCATTGAAATGCCCAATTTGACTATAAATATGCAATGCTCATAGATCATGATGTCCTTTTATAAATATATTGAAGTTTACAAATATAAATACACTTGGGATTCGTTTGGTTACCCGGTACCTTTTGTAAAATATAGTTTAAAAATATTGGTTGAGAGAATAAAGGTTTGTAACGGAGAAGCACATACCAAAAAGCTTATAAAAATACATTTTTGAAAAAAAAAATATATTTACAAAATGTCGCTTTCAAACAAAAATGAAAAAATAACTTTTCCGTTTTGAGACGAAAAAGACAAAATTAAGCCGTTCCAAACAAGGTCTTAAAGGGCTTGACTTTGGCTTGGTGGGTGCTTGATTTAATCGCTTTTGGTCGTTAGATATGTTTTGTCGAGATGTTCAATTCAACGATAAGTTTATTGAAATCAATGTTTGGCTAGTTCTAAAAGTAATTATATATATTTCTAATCTAAATAATGCATTGAGATATGTACCAATCAAGTGGAATTTTGTAATGTTGTATCATATGCCCTCTAATTTCAAACATCAAAGCTTCTATTGTTTGAAAATGTATATTAAGTCTTCCATAAAATTCACGGTACAAATTTATAATTTTAAAAAAATTAGAAGGCACACGAGATCTTTTGACGTTAACATTAACCTCCCCTCAAGGTCGTGCACCAAATAAAATATCCACCATCATTATTTTAGCATTCCTTCATGTTGTTGCATCAATTGAAGCAAACTTATTATAAAATTTTACTTTAAACCTACCAAATTTACTCAAAACTAATCATAGGGGCTTTTTTTAACCTATGAGAGTACCAAAATTGAGTCTATAATATAAAAAAAAAAAAAAGATTATCATGACTAAAAAAATACCGAAAAACTTTTTAGGCTTCAAGTCAAATTGGGGGAACAAGCTAACCAGCCGCCATCACCAATGCTCCCGTCGGAGCTCCATAAGGTGTAGATCATGTGTCATTCACTACAGGAAATTCAGGAATTAACGGCGGCTAGTGCCGGTGGTCATATAGCAGTCGGTAATACCGGCGGTTATTTAATTAGTCACCACCAGAATTAGTGTCGGTCTAATAACCTGCGGTTAGGCTGCATGTTTTATTTTGTATCGGCGCTTTACCGACGGCTAGTACCATTGGTTTTAAGTGACTTTTTTTTCTATGGTTTACCGACGATTGTCGGCGGTCAACCAGCGGTCACCTGGCGGTTTGACTGCCGGTAACACCGGCGGTTTTGACGGCCGATAAGCCGTCGATGATTAACCGATGGTCACCGGCGTTATGACAGCCGGAAATTACTAGTTGTCTCGAATGCCGGAAAGCCGCCGGTGATTATAACCTCCGAAAATAGTTTCCTACACAGTTTATTCCGACGGTTTTTGAACCGCTGGTATTTTACTAAACCGCCGAAAATCTTAGAGAAACCTCCAGAAAAAAACTGCAAGTAATTCCTGAATCTCCTGTAGTGCTTGTGCGTGTATGATAGTGAATTAAAAATATATTTAAAAATATTTTTCATAAAATGCTTATTAACACATTTTATAATTTTAAGGAAAATGATTTCAATACCAATACATATGTATTTAATATAAAAAAATTAGCACATTTTTTGTGATAAAAGTTCAAATTTTTTTATAACCTATCATCCATTTTAAGTATAAATATCCCAATGGATAAGAGAGAAAAGTCATTATCTCATTTCTCTCCTCATCCACTCTGATTCTTTCTCTTAAAAGACATGCATTATCTCGCATAAATGATACATAATTTTCCCTTCACAAAATCCAGCACTCCTTATATATAGTCTTGATGTTATCTTGGATAGATGGTGTGTATACCCCTCGCAAGCTCCAATGCTTCTCTACCAAGAGTATTGAATTTCATGCATCTTTGAAATCGCGTCTGCGTTTAAGAGTTTTTGCTTCATCTATGAGTGCTCATCAGCTCAATTCAACATCACATTCTTGACATAACAATATGGAGACGTCAACAAGGAGAGCTCCTCAAAAAAAATATATTGGTAATTTCCATAGCACCCTACTACTTGTTTTTTAGTGCTTTTCTTATTTTTATGAATTTTTTTTTTCAAAAATTTGATTTGATTTTTTATTAGATGATCATGTACATCTCTATAATTTTCATGAAATTTTTCATTTAAAAACTATATCATTTTTTGTTTTTAGAAAGAATTTTAATTTTTTAAATACCCTCTTGATAAAATTGTGGCATTTCTATCTTTAAAAATCATCCATAAAAAAATTTAGAAGATTTTGTAAATGTAGATTGCATCTTTAGCTACTTCAATGAATTTTTTACATGCATACATATTGGTCATGTAATACTAAATATTTTAATAATTATGAAATTAAACTTCTAAATGCTAATGTATTTTAAGTGAGTTTTAAATTAATAGTTTTTAAATGAGCTGATTTATAAGTTAACAAGTTGAGTCAAGGCTGACTCAAGCTTTTCTCTTTTACTCATTGAGCTCAGCTCATAAGCTGTCATTTATCGAGCTGAGTCCAAACTTGTCCACAAGTTGACTTGACTCATTTACACCTATTCTCTATAGAACTAAAATATCATATTAATGAAGGAAAATTTTAGAAGATGAAAGATCTAGGGTTAATATATATATAGAACTATTATTACATATAATATATATATTTTTATAATTTGAAGTTAATTATTTTCAATTAATATCATTGGAATATTAAATAAAGAGGGATAGGTGTTTTGTTATATCTTGCACCCGACTCGATCGTGACCCAATCAATATAGTATTGTAATTAATCATCTTACCTAGGCACTCAAAAAGGCTAGGTGGCATCCAAAAAGCCAAGCCTTGCCTTAGGTCTCTCCTTTCCTCTTCAGTCTATATTTTAGCTATTAATAAGATATAAAAGCCAACTACATTATAATATCATAATAACCTTTTCTAGCTAGCTCTTTAGTCCATCATTGGTATACTCTCAACTTTCAAGAACAATTTCATAAGAAGAGGTGAAATGATTGCTCCAATATATAAGAGGCCATATCATATCATATTATCTTCATAGTTTTAAATGATGACTGGAATCTCAAATCCTCAAAAAATCACTCTTCTTGACTTTTAGGCTTAAAAATTATTGAACAAAGGCCAGAAGAATTAATCCAATGTAATATGACTATATGAGTAGCAAAATTATTGTATTAACATTGCAAAAAATCTCTAAATGAGCGTTCAAACTTTTTTGGGGGAGACATTGAGGTTAATTAAGAGAAATTTATATACACATCACATACGTCAAACTCGATTCTAAAACCTCTTGGTTGGCAGCTCCTCGATTCCAAGACCTCATGGTTGGTGGGCAAAGCTGCCAACCAACAGATTAAAATGAACTGCATGATAGTTCAAAGTTGATTAGCATGGAATCTTGAATAGCAAAAGTTAATTTCCACTATGATGTATTAAGACAAATTTATATATTCATATTTCTTTCTAAAAAACATATTCAAGCTATTATTAAGGAATACAATCTCGTTCTTGCTTGACTTGTGGCTTGTTATATATAAGAGCTTATAAAAACTAATTGAATTGATGAAGCTAATTATTGAGCCAAGCATAGCTCAATAAGTTTTTTACACCGTCCTAAATACAGCATATATAACTAAGTGCCCATGTAAAACTTAGGTTAATTTTATTTGGGATGACTTTTTTTATTGCTTCTTAAAATATAGTTTAAAAATTTTTTGTTCCAGAACTCTGTTTTAAGAAGCAATAAAAAAATAGTTCCAAATTAAGGCTTAATCAAATTAGATTAATTTCTTAGAATAAGTACTTGCTTTAACTAGCAAAGTTTAACAAGACGGCTACAAACTGACCAGCTTTTAAAGAGAAATTCATTCCTCAAAAGGCCATCCTAAGGCTACTTACACAACTTCAATTATCTGCTCTTTCTGCTACTTCACTCTATCAACCACCTGCTTTGAATACCTCACAGCTCTTTGTCATAAATTGGAACACCAAAGAGCTTAACAGTACAGTCATGGCCCTCCTCCTCCTCCCCCCTAATGGTTACTGAGCACTGAGGCTGTCCTGTGGTAGCCATCTCTATGAGCATTCCATGCCTGCACGTAGACGAAGCAGTGCTGTATCTTTAGTAATAATTCGTATTTGATGTCTATTTATGTTTTCTCATTCATTGATCAAATAATAAAAAAATTCAGCCTATTTGCTAAACAACGCACAATAGAGCCAGCTCGATTTACCTAAGCTTGATAAAGGGGAGAGAGAGGTTACTGTACTAAATAAAGTCACTTATCTTTCTATATCTTTCGACGTTAATGAAAATTTTTGAATATTTAAAATTTAAAGTAGCTTGGAAAGAATTTTTTATTTTTGTTTATAAATGCAATTATTTTAGCTATTTTGAATGTTAATCATAGAAAATGTTTTATGAACGATGATACATGTATGAAAAATGATTTTTTCTATTAAAATAATCAATTTATATTCATAAAAGTATATAAAATTTGTATTTGCTTATGTTTTTTTATTGTAAAAACCATCAAATTAACATATTATATAATGAACCGCTTGTAATCATTCATAGTAAGCTGTAGAAGCGTACCTGTATGTGTGTAGTGGGCTTACATGTTGCTGTAGGTAGTGAATGATATCATCATAGAGCTTCTTTAAATGATTGAGCTCTGATAAGAGGAGAGAGTTCCTCCTTCTCAGCCTTAGGTTGTCCTCGGAGAGGGCCAAGAGGAAGCTGGTGTCGTCGAGGGTGGACGAAAGCCGCGGTGGCGGCTCGACGATGACTTCTGTGTAACACTGGAAAGATGGCTGCGAGTAATGAAAGCAATGTTGTTGTTGATGATGGTGATGATGAATATGATGATTCTTCCTTCTGTGAATTTCTAAGAGAAGATGCTTCTCTCCTTTTTTGAAGAACTCATTAGCAAACTCCCACCTTTCTGCAACTATCTTTCTGAATCCCTGAAAAGATAAACAAAGATGATAATAACAACGATGTTCCATTTAGATTTGGTTGGTATTATTACATATAGGTGAAGTAGGATTAATTAAGCCAACTTTTAATAGTAATAAGGGCTAGACTAATGATATGATTATTCAAGGATTAATTTATATAAAGATTTTTCTTTCTTATATAAGGAAATTCTTATCTATATATAAATCTCTTTCAATGTTAGAGACTTATACCACTTAAGCACACATCTCAATGCAAATTAATGAAAGGTGTTTAAAGGACTTCTAAAAAGGAATTCCTTAGAGGACTTGGTTCCTTATTCAATGATATTTAATGAAAGATGTTTTGCATTATATTTAAGCTTTCATTTAGATAAAAATTCTCAGCTCTTCTATTTTGCATTTGGATTTGTGCTCAAAAGTCTTATGATAGGGACATATAAATTTAAAGATACAAATTAATGCAAATGCAAAATAGTGTGATTGATTATTAGAAAATACTTTTTTTTCTTAGAAGGAATTCCTTAATTATATGATTCATGTCTTTTTCATACCTTGTGGTGTTGAAAGAGAAGCTAAGAGAAACATATGTAAGAGCAAAAAATGAGAAAAATTCTGTAAGGAACTTCTTATAGGAACTTTTAAGAGAAACTAAGCCTTCGTTTGGAGCAGTTTTTTTACTACTTTCTAATTAAGCAGCTTTCTAGTACAAAAATTCTTGAACTAGAAATTTTTATACTAAAAAACTACTTTATAAAGAAGTAAGAAAAATATCTCAAACAAAACTTAAATGTGAATTTTGTTTTAAAAAATTAACGCTACGTTTTCATTATGAAATTTATACAATAAAGAGACCTATTTTGTAAAAAAAAAAGTTAATCTTTTAATACATATTGGTACTCTTTCCTAAGAATACATAAAAATAATCTTTAATACACAAAAAATTTCACATTTCTTTTCTTTTCAAAAGAAAAATATTATTTTTAGCATGGGCATTTTCTTATATATGCCTAAATTTGATGAAAATAAATACTATAACATATACTATAAAGCTTTTGCCATAGCAATTTTATGAGGAATTAACTCTTTAAAAAAAGTTGTCCTGGGAAAAAGGGAGCAAAGTAATATAAAGAAATTAGTGCTCAACTGTAGAGAAAGACAAGTCATGAAGTGATGGAACCTTATACAAAGGGAAGTAGTGGAACTCTCTTTCTTATTTAGACCATCAAATCATTCTAAGTAGAAAAAAACTACAGCAAAAAGCTATATTGATAAAACATAACAACAACACTGGATGAACACAACTATCAAAGTGAGTACTAGCTAGAAACACAACTGAAGAAAATGAAAGTTTCCTCAAAAAATGGGAGCATTAAAACAGGAAATAAAAATCCAGCTTCAAATGAAAGAAACAAAATTAAGAGATAGTGAGAAAAGATTTTTTTTGCTTACATAGGTGTTGAGCTGCCTAACAAAGCTAGAGAAGTTGTTGTGTTTGAAGTATTTGGGAAGGAGATCTTTTGCAAAATCTGGAGGTCTCCATACTATAAATGTGTTGTTATCTTCTCCCCAAGAGACAATGTGATCAGTACATGGATCATCAACAAGATGGTAGGTTTTGGTGAGGAATGGAGCTGGAATTGGCTTTTGAGAGTTCACAGGAACTACCATGTCATCACATGATTTTTCTACCAAGAAAGCCATGGAGAGGAAGAAGAGAATGGAAGCTAGCAGCTCTCTGGCTACTACATCTAGCTATCCTGCTTTGAGTATATATGCATTTGTATTTGTAGCGCTCATCTCTCTCTCTCTCTCTCTCTCTCTCTCTCTCTCTCTCTCTCTCTCTCTCTCTCTAACTCTCTTATTTATGTATGCACATAGTCACCACTCATCATCATTATAATCATCTTGTATTTATCAATATTTCATCTTTATTATTTTTTGTTCTATTTTATTGTTATATATAAAGAGAGAGAGTTTTTTTGTTGGTCTTTGGGCGACGATAGCATAATTTTCTAGTATTGCCTTTATTTTAGTAGATATTTAACTTGGTTCACTACAGAAAAATCATCTATTACTAGCGGAAATCATTAAATATTTGACGGATTTGGGCATTTCAGAGAAAAAACTGCCAATAAAAGTCACAGAGGAAACGAAAAGCGGCTGGTTTTTTTTCAGCAGGAACTTATTTCCGACAGATGTTCAGGGGATTTTTTATCACAGATTCTACTTTAGTTATGACTTGAAGACGGAGCGGCGGAGAAGGGAGAATTGTCGCCGGCATTATCGGATGTTTAACTGCCGGAAAAGCCCGCCAATAATTACCAAACTGTCGGTTCTTGCCAGAAATTTCCAGCAACTTCTCGCACTGTTCTGTCAAAATTTTACGTTGCCCAGTATCGAAAGTTTCCTGCGGAATTTTCATCGAAAGTCTCAGAAAACTTGTAACAATGCCAAAAAATAATGATAATAACCCATTATTATTCCACAAAAATATTTACATCATAAACCTGCAACATTTAATAGATGTATACATAATAAAATATATCATCATACAACATTGATACTCAAAATATAATAAAAATAATATATCTATATTTTTGCCCGGTAATGTCGCGAGAATTCCGGCGGAATAATGCTTACGGCAGAATTTTTCTACCAGAAATTCTATTGATACTTAGTGAACCTGACAGAATTTTGGACAGATTTTTTTTTGTCGGATTATTATTTTATTTCTGAAGAAAAAATCAGTAAAAAATGTAACCGGAAAATGCCCTATTATCTTTCTTTATTATATTTAAATGAAAATTTGATTTTTAATCGGACACAATGACGAAAAAGATTCATGTAGCCAACCCCATATAGATGTTGTTGTTGTTGTATACATATCTCTCGGCCTCTCCATCGCCCATCACAGTCCAAGGTAATTTCTAGACCATTTTGCTTCATTTTTTTCTTATAATTGGAATATAAAACTTCATCTCTATAATCATTTTCAAAATTTTTTAATATTTTATCCATTATATTTATTAAAAATATGTTTTAGTTATATTTAGTGTTATACATAAATTATTTTTTGCATCTACCACTTTGTTAGAAATAGTTACATGCAATATGGTTCTTATTTAGGATATATTCATTGCTAAAGATTTAATATTATCGAGATTAACATATATATTGTGAAATTGCTATGTTAAATGATAATTATTTAGGGTTATTCATAAATTAGATTACTGCTTATAATTATATTATTTTAATATTTAATAACAAAGTCACATTCACTAATTGCAATAGAAGAATCCTAAGTAGTAGAGATGGAAAGTGGTGGAAAGAGAACAAATATCTTCATATATTTTTATTTTTATTTTCTTACATTTGTTAGAACAAGTAATATATAGATATCAAAAGCATAGGTCTTGACTCTTGAATGTACAATAGGTTAATTGTCACTAGGAAGATAGTCACTGATAGATAAATTTGCTAAGGGAGTTAAATATTTTATTTATATAATTTGTCTACTATCTTCATTTTTATTAGATGGAATTTTTAGACGTTCTTGTTCAAAACATAAAAAACAAGCATACCTTACACCAAAGAAGGACATACAAAATTTGGCTGCTAGAGCTAGAAGATGAAATCATAGTCATTGATCTGTCATGTGTATTCAGACGATCGACACTGATTTCGTGGAATCGAATTTAATTTGAGTGTCATGTTTTTTGGAGGGCCCCGCCTGTGGTTTAAATAACCAATCAAAGAGCACCACGTGTTAAAGCGCACGCTGATTATGTAATTCTATAAAAGTAATTCAAAGAATTGACTCAAACTTTAAAAACTCATATCTCCTCACCCTCTTGAACAAATTAGGTGATTAAGGGCTCTATAGATCTAGCTTGCGAAGACTACATAAGCCCTAATTAATTGAGGTTCAATTTTAACTATATTAAAAGTAATATAAGAAATATATTTCATTATATTTCTTGAATGACTTTGCATAATTAATTCCAATTGGGCTCAAATTTTCAAGGATGATTCTTGAACATGTTATACACATCTCCAAAATGATTCAAGGTAATTTGAATCCAATGTGTTCCTTCACAACTTCAAGAACAGCAGATGATGATTAGAATACAAGGACATACGAAGAAATGAACTTTGATGCAGTAGGTACATAATTAAGAGAACATATAGAGGAGTCACCTAGCATCAATGCACATAAACTCTATGAATGACCATGTTATGCTCAACAACACATCTGGGATGGATATACTACTTATATTGAGTCATCAATTGCAATATGATGCTCAGTATTAAAATTCAATACAATGTTCCTTGAGAGTGCTTCAATGAGTTCATAGGCCTGCTTAAGAAAACCAATCTTGAGAACAATTTAATTTCCACATGTATATATAGAACTAAAAAGTTAGTATCCAAGTTGAGGTTGACTGCTACAAAATTTGATTGTTATATCAATGATTATATGTTGTACTATAAAAACGACTTAACAGATGTTGCATATCAATATAACTACAGCGCACCTCAATACAAATCAAAATATAGGAAACAGTGAAAATATAAGAATATCTCATATTGCTGATTGTTTTATTTACCCATCATTAGGCAAATATTTTTTTAACAATAACATTATGACTTTTGATAGTTGTCAGGGGTGGATCCAGCTTCTTTTTTGAGGGTGGGCAAAAAAAAAAATTTTGTGGGGGATGGACAAAAATATTTAGGATTGATAAAAGTAGGGCAAAAAAGATTTTTGAGGGTGGGCAAAATGCTCAAAATACCCAAAAATATTTCAAAATATCCCCTCTAAATATTTAAAAAAAAAAAATTGAGGGTGGACATTTGTCCACCCTAAGCCCTTGATGGATCCGCCCATGATAGTTGTAACCAAATTTTCTGTTAATATTTATTATTTTTCTCTATCTTGGTATCCTAATTTCTATTACTCTGAATTCACCCTCCAATCTTGTTATTAGTTGGAAGTTCTTATTTATACCAACCATCCTTTTTGTTGTTATTATTATGTTTTATTTTTTTTCAATTATTTGTGGTTCTTGTGTTTTTGGTATCCAACCTATTTAATTTTTGTTTGTTAGTTCTTTGTTCATCGGCTTGATAGCAGTCTGAATCTCTTTAAATTATATTTATTACATGATTTGTTTATCATTGCATTAATATTGGATTAACTACTATAAACCAATCATATTTAAATTCATTAATTACATTTATATTTTAGTCTCTTTCATATAACATATTTTCCATAAGTTTATATTATTGTTTTTGGTAATTAGATTTATGTTAATTTTTATTTATTGTATGGAAATTATATATTCATGTTAAAATTCGTGCTATAGAAAAGTTATGTTAGTTAAAACAAAAAAAATTGTGTATTCGTGTTTTTATATTTATTTGTATATATTTTATATGTTTTTTATATAAAAAAAGATTAGGCTAGTGGAATTAATTTAATTATATATGTTGGTAAAATTGCTTTAAGACAGAAATAATTATCCATTTAAAATTATAGATTATCTGTATTATGTGACAATGAATGCATGGATCTTCGAAGCCAAAGGTCATAGATGTATAATAGATTGTTGTTGCTTGGACGAAGGACTAACATATGAATTCATCAACGGAGTTGAATATTTCATTAACATGGCATGCCACTTGCTTTTTTCCTATACCAAATGAAAAGTTTAATAATGTTTCATTACTCAAAACATGAATTATCTAACCTACTTTACACCACACATGATTACACTAGATTTATACTATAAAAGATTCCTAACTAATTAATTATTAGTTCTGGACTTCATATAAAGAGTGCGAACTATATTGTATAACAACAGACAATAAAAATACAAGGACATACAAAGAGGTGGTATTCGATGCAGCTAGCTGATAATTTCGAAAACATACAAAGGAGCAACCTAATATTAATGTGCAGAACTTCTATGAATTATTACATACATCTTAACAATTAATTTGAGATGGGTGCACCACATATTATGAGTTATTAGTCACCATTAAGATGCTCAGCATTAAGATAAAATATAATATTCCTTGTGAATATTTCAGCCAATTTGTTAGATTAGTGAAAGAAATCAATCCAACAGATAATTTAATTTTGGCATATTTATAGGACAAAGAATTTAGTGTCTATATTGATCTTAAGTGATGACAAAATAGATTATTGCATTAATGGTTGCATGTTATACTAGAAGAATATGACTTGATGGAAATTACACGTCGGCAGCATTATAATGCACCTCAAATCAAATTAAAAACTAGGAAGCAATGAAAAATAGAACGATTCAGCTGATTGTTTTATTCACCCATCATTCTAAGTCTTTAAAGATTGTATGCATCAATGAGCTCTGCTAGTCGCATGAGATGACATCACTAAAATATTTCCAAACTAGGTGCTCTAATTCTTCCATAAAATCTTGAAGCCCAAAAGCACTTTAATGGCACACTTCCAGCTTTTATTATTGAACCGCGAAACATAAAGTTGGACTATATGTAATTATATATGTTTGCTCTGTACGATTAGGTAGCTTCATCTTATTTACGTTGGCAAGTAATAGTAACACCTTACAATCTTTTTGCAGAGATGTGCATAACTATACCTAACATGATTTTAATGCTCATCATACTTGGGTCTCAAATCCAGAAGCAAAAATTGATGTGCTTTTACAACCATTGATAGATGATCTGAAGATTCTATCACTGCATTGAAAATATTCTCAAATTTATTATCCTTTATTTAATTTATGA